TGGGGGGCAGAATAAGTCAGAGGCTGAGGCTGAGGCAGCATCCCTTCCCAATAAGAACTCTCCCTCACCAGGACAGCAAAGACCCACAGCATTCCTGTGCCAGGGAAAACTGACAGGGCACCCCAGCACCACCGGGCACTGACGGGTGACCACTCGGCCCCTCTACGACTGACTGGTTTAACAAAACAAAGCTCAGCCATCGAGATTTGGCCCCCTGGCGTTTCGATAGCGCCTCAGAATCTTCCAAAGCGAAGGGCGTTTGGCGAAGTGTGGGAGACGGGGTTTGGACGGCCAGGCCAGGCCACGCACAGCAAGATCCCACTGCCGCCTGTACGTTCACAACTGTAAATTGAACGCAGCATCAAACCTGTAACCTCACTAAACCCCTCGCCTCCCCGATTGGCTGCCTTTCTGAGTCTTAAAGGCCTTTAACCAGCCTCGGAGAGAGAGTGAATGCACACATCCACCAACAACCCTGCATCCCCTTCTCCCCACTCCTCCACCCCACCCTCCACCTACCCACCCACCCCCTTCCCCAAGTCTTCCTCAGTCTTCAGTGCGAGCCCTGACCCACAGACCACCGCACAAGAGGGAAGACCGAACTGGTGCACCAGCTGGAGGCCAAGGTGGGCGCGAGGGAAATGCAGGTCCTTCCTACATCCGACTTGATGTGGGTGGGTACGTGGGTGGGTGGGTACGTATGTGGGTGGGAGAGAAGTCATGCCCCAACTCTAGCACCCCACCCCGAGACACCTCCCGCTACTCCACCAACTCCCCTACCCCTCAACCCCCACCCGGCCTCGGTTAACCCCAGGTTTAGCAGAGGGGCCCGGGGCTCCTTACCGTCACTGTCCCGGGTCAGCTCCCTCGGCACAGGACTGGCCGGTCGGCACAGGCGGGGGGCTAGCAGCATGGCACCGCGGCACAGGAGCGGCCGATACATGGCATCGTGTTGGGGGAGCGGTCAGCCACTACAACAACAAGAAGCTGCACTGAGACAGTGCCCGAGATGGTGGGGTGGGGAGGGATTGCTTTGTAGGAGACTTGCATTTCCGTAGCACCTTTCCTCTCCCTTCCACCACCGCGCCCCCGCCCCCCCAACCCCCCCCCACCCCCCCCCCCCCCCACCCACCCACAAAACCCTGTCAACCCAACGCAGTATTTCTGGGGACACAGCAGCCAGCCTGTGAACAGCAAGATCCCATAAAACAGTGACTTGATTGAATGAAAAACATTAACTCCAAGACCTGGATCACCACCTTCGCCCCCAGCCTCCCCTCGCACAACCACCTTCGCCCCCAGCCTCCCCTCCCACCACCACCTTCGCCCCCAGCCTCCCCTCCCACCACCACCTTCGCCCCCAGCCTCCCCTCCCA